CCGAATGCACCTCGATGCTCAGTCAAGCTGTTAATCACTGCCAAAACCGGGAACGTGTGGGTGTGTTTCGTAGTTCTCTTCTTGGTTAATTTGGGGTCAGGTATTTCCGTCATCGCCTCTAGGTGAGCTCTCTGGTAAAACGGTACTCCGGAGATATGCATAGTTTTACGCTAACGGGCTCGTCTCCGGGTTGTGGATATGGGGATCCCCTCAATGAGAGTTCACTAAAAATAAATCATGGCTTGCTGAAGAAAAATAAACAGTCGTGAACAAATAGTGGCGTCTATTCCTCATTGTTCAAGCCAAATCACCTTCAGCCTCATCGATGTTTCAAGGGGAACTACTCTGTACATTAGACTGTTTGAGAAGTGTTTTCCAGTCTCTGTCGGTTTGATGATATAAAAAGATCGATTAGGACTTTGAAATAGTCACATGATTGAACAGATTATGTTCACTCAGAAGCGAACTCAATCGTAAAAGTCAGGCAGGCGTTGCTTTGTACCATAATAATAATAAGTGTTATAACACCCACAATACAGTGCCTGATCGAGGACAGTCGTTTATTGCAGATTGCAGTTAGGATATCACTAATTTAGCATATACATATAATAGGAATCTCATTTGAAACATATCGTCGCAGTTCCCGGCAGCAATCCGAGTAATGAATGGAGCAGTCGGTAGTTATTCTTTAAGACAGCAGTTTACCCTCGATACTCTCATTAATTCTTGATCGTTTGAAGGAAACCACCAATTGCACTATTTTGCATAATACTCACAAATGTGAGTAGTACCTCACAACAATAATAATTTTTTGCTCATCTGTACCCATTGAGTATACAATCGTATCATCAGTTTTCAGTAAGTGAACCGCGGCCAATAAAAAGCCGCTTGGGAATCGAAACCTCTCAGGAAATATTAATCACAATAGTCAACATTCATATTGCGCCTTCTGCGAGAGTTTGAACAGAGTGGCTGTTCTGGTGTTAGTTTTGATTAACTCTGGATATCTGTTTATCGAGCATACAAACATATGCAGTTAAATTTCTGGAAGGAGGGTGTGGCCGTATAAAAGTTTCCTGAGGTAATGCAGAACTATGGTAGATAGCCGGTTGCGAGGGGGATTCGGACTCAGGAGCTCCGGGTCCCCATTTGGATGACTTTAAACACGTGACCACCATTGAGGAGGAATCAATCGAATGTGATGATATGACTTGATTTACATTATCCTATACTTTTCACCGCAACTTTTCCTGACGAGAAATGTGCCCATCAGGCAGAACACATGAGGGTCAGGAGTGATTTGTTCAGGATTGTGAAGCATAACTAGAGAAAAAAGACAACTTCGCGTTTGTGCATCAAGTTTCACTTTGGCTCACCTCAACCAACCATCTGGCTTTTTTCTATTGCGTGATTTCTGGTCATGTCAACAAAACTGTATCGCNCCATATTCTTTGTACACTCTTTGCTCATTTTAAGGTGAATGCCCTGATCAGATATCTTCTGAGGGAACTTATCAGCCGGAACAATATCAATGCACAACGACCGTGCTTTGCCGACCTAACCACATCTCAAGTCTTGGTTGATAAACGTGTTTTGCACGAGCTCGCCGAAGCTCTGAAGCGCAACCGGTGCACGCCATCTGAGCTGTTTTCAACGCGGCCTCCGTAAGTCCTTTTCAGACCTCTTATCCCCATGGTGCTGCCGGCCAATGTTTTTCCCCACATTGTTCGAAGTGAATAATTTCATGAATTCACCGTCGGTTCATTTAATATTTCTGTGTTAGATTAGACGGCTTTTAATGCAGTGTATTTAAGGACTTAACCCCCAACATTATCGGACAAATGAATCTGTCATCTAGCCCCATAGTGAAGTCAGATGCTTCACAAACCATTGTGCATCCGGAATGAACTAAGGCTCCACATAAAACCGCACAATCTCGGGTCAACTTTTCACTCAGTCCTGAAATCCGGCCCCTAAGTGTAAATTCCATAAAACCGAAAAACGTCTACCACCGATGTGCAACAATAATAGATTGGCATAGCCGCATGTAAAACTCTCCCCTGCCTCTTTTCAATATATCGGGGAAGTGGACAGCTATTCTTGGATTTTATAAGGCGCTGTCTTTCGTGGTTCGGTAATGTCCATCACCCCAGAACTCTCTGTAACGTCTCCCTGCGATCGTGTGTAACCGGCCAGTCAGCGAAATCACCCGTTTTTTAAAATTAATTTATTTAATTCATAACGAAGGAGTCAGTGAATTATCCATAACAGTTTCTTGTTTTTCTGATTAGGGGTAATAATTTTCAAGCGGTTTGAAGTCGCTTCGAGCTCCCAGGTTCGGGTTTTAAACCATGCCTTCGCTACCCGACCCAGCCTCGGTTTCGGTCATATTTGTCTGGTTCAATACTACACATTTCGTCTTAAGATGTGATATTCACTAGTTCAAGTCCTAGGGTCGAGGTTGTCAACTACCTCGTGACTATGAGGCCAATCCTTTCTGTTGTGCAGTAAAACAAAAACGCTGTTTACTGTTATGCCAGTAATATTTTGACAGAAATTAGTATCAGTTGTGCAGAATGTTTCCCCCCTTCAGCATTCTTTCTCTTTCGTCGGCTAAGTATTTATTTTACGGTTTGGCGTTTTGTCACCAATAGATTGCTGTTATCAATCCACTTCGCCTACTCCTACATAGTTACGTGCTCTCTTGTTTGCATTGTCATCATCATCATCTAGAATTCCATGCTCCTTACCACGAGAAAGTCCCCTGCCGGAACCCAATCGAATCGCTATAGAAAACAACTGGCTATACCGTCTGTTCACTCAATGTCCACCCACTCAATGGGAATTGCTGTTCCAAATGGAAGCTTTGAAAAATTGGTCGGCTTTGATCCGCAAAGCACAACTGGACTGCACCGATCGCTCATCCCTTGGACTTCCCGCCCTCAGCCCACCATGCTGTTCAATTTCTGCTGGTGGACGTATTCGGCTTGCCTCATGGAACGTAAACCGATTTACTCTGGCTAAAGCACGGCATCCGGGATTTCGCGAAACACTTTGTCTTACTGTCTTACGAGCGCGCATTTCATTGCTCGTGCTCCAAGAAGTGGCCTCGTTAGATGTGGTCAATGTCGTAAGTCCACAATTATCTCGCATTTACCCCACAATAGTTACCTATGAGTAGTGGGTATGGGATGAATATTATTGATTTGAACTCGCCGTCCGCGGACGACATCTAAACGAATATGAATTTAGCAATTCTAGTGTATCTCAGTGTGAGTTAGTTGTTACAGTAGTAGTAACACATCTGATATACGGAGTTAAAAATCTGAACAGGGTAGTGAATATGTGTTATTGACGAGCTCCAACGAGACCGAACCTCGAATCTATCCCCTTTCCGCTTCTGGTGGATTCACATTGGAATTGCTGCCTCAACCTTCACACGTCACCGGTTGTATCGGTTCCGTCGGAATGAACTGGTTCCCTCGTAAAAAAACCAAAGTAAATTTTGAGTTGCTTACCGACTGAGG